AGCTGAAAGTACGGCGGTTTATAAAAACTGTTTACTCGTTTGCAAAAATGCGTATTAATGCGTTGCAAATTCTACACAACATTTTGATGACATGCAATTTTCTTGTTATTTCTCAGATGCTTTACCATGTAGCGCCATTATGTTTTTCTGTTTGCATTTTAGAAGTTTATCATCAGGCGACATTGCTTATCGCTGCTAAGCGTGTGCAATATCTTCGTATCAGTTTATCCAATTTAGTGCCAATAAAATTGGATATTTATTAAAATTGTAAACAAAATTGATCGTGAACTAGTAAATATTACAAGCAAATAAATATTATAATATAAGAAGTATAATGCATCACATTTATAATAATATTATAACAATAGTATAATAATAATAAATAATATTATAGCAATACATACTACAAATTGTTTCTAAATAAACCTTATATTGAATTTTTGACAAACACTTTAGAGATGATTTAATTAACGGAATTATTTAATAATGATAATTAAATTCAATGTTAATGTTAATATGTGTATTAAGATATAGTAATTAGTAAAGATTTCATTGTTAAAATAAATAAATAAATACTCGTAGATTGCATTCATATTTAAGTAAAACACTGAAGATGTTAAATAATCATACAAGTACATAGAATTCTAGATTCGGGGAATTTAGTGACGATGTTATGTTTAAGTACAGTACAGATTTTTTTCGCCTGGTCAAATGTCAATGCTTATCACGCATACGTCTACGCACAAATGTCTATTATACACGCGTAACATGCGTTCACAACGAGCGATGTTATCAGTTAATTTGTTGCGTAAGATGTAAGAAACGTGTCCGATCATAAACGCTATAATGGCCGAATGGAGATTGGCAATTGCAGTCGTCCAGCTTTCTTGTGGAATCAAAAGTCACATTATGAAAATCATATTGTAACACTTTCGTGCACGATAATAACACATCAACAACAATAAAATATTTTTAATTGTATTCGTAAGCATTTTTGCAATTGTTTTGTAAAAATAAATCTATAACATAAGTATCTATAGAATAAATCTTTAATGTAGAAAAATATTAATTGAAAGACGCGTGAGAAAAATATATTTAATTATTTGAAGAAATAAATATTTGTAAACTACTTTCACGTCGTCATGCCGTAAAGTGAAAACTTTGTAAGATGATAATATATTCATAAGTCAATATAGCGAGGCGCGGTCAACATAACAAGCATTTACGTGGCGCGGCGGACAGGACATGCTGTTGCTTTCCATTTATGGACAGACCCGATACAAAATTGATAGAGGATGCCTTTTAAAGGCCAGTATTGATTGGATCCCTGGTGTGAGCGAAAAGGGAAACCCGCTATATGACACAGTAGAATCGGACGTTGTATCTGTAAATGGGATACAATGGATATGGAATTCCGATGTTTTTACTCATTCAGAAGAAAGAATTCGTAGCGACGTACTTTCATGAAAAATTGACACGGGCTTGTCATGCGTGCTAACGTAATAATCGACATTTCAAAAGCGTAGCTCGAGTGCGCTTCTGTTTGCCGCGAAAATTATAGTAAGAACGTAATACGCTACATAAGAGAGAAGCTCAATTATAAAGTTAGATTGCAAATTTAATATATGCTAATTTTGATATTTTATTTCGTCTCAATGCAATAAAATGTTGACAAATATATTTTATAGGATTACGTTGTCCCGAATCGACTTGGAGAGCCAATTAGAAAGAATTTAGTTATCGCGGAAGTTATCCTGATTATTGCGAATGCTAATACTCTTGAGCATCGGTGGAGTAAAGTTGGATGCAAACAAGAACCGGAGAAAGAAGAGAGAGAATCGCAACCGGATACCGTTACAGTAACTTTGCACGTGGTAGAATATGCCGCAGAAATTTCAAGCAGGAAGGATAGAGGAGCGGATATCTGGATATGAGATCACATGTACATCCGGTTTCCAAGAGTGAACTGGGTTCACAGAGCAACTTGTCAAATGGGAAATGCGTTATCAGCAAGCGCGTGGTGCTTTATCCTCCCTCTTCCAGTTCTCAACTTCCAGCTTTTGTCTCGTTTGATCTCCAACACTTTCGTCAGCCTGATATTTTTCACGAATGTGAAAGTCCCCCGGAAAGTGGGTCGCGTAGATTAATTTAGAACTCGCTCCAAATAGGAGGGAATAAAGAGAGACGAACGTTATATCATAATTGAATTTACTTGAAAATGTATGCTTTTATTTCATTTGAACTAGAATGGATTTTACTCGAGAGGATTATTGATTAGTCTTGCCAATTCATTCAAACAGTGAACTAAGGAAGTTAAGGTGAGAAAATAATTCAACACTTTTTGTACTGCTGCGTCGAATGTTTTAGAAGATTTAGAAACAACCAGAAAAATTTACTTCAACGTTGCTGAAGAAAAATAATTGATCTAAAATGTGTTTTCATTGATTACTGACATCTTATACTTTTTTGCACTATCGACTATATTATATTTAATACTGAGTTAGTAATGTATCATTTTAATGATATTTTCGTAAATAGAAAATATGAAAAATTTATATAAATATTCCACAAAAATGAGAAAATTTGACTGTAAAAAATTTTGCAAATTGTACAGATTTTATTCGGAAATGATTTTGCGAAGCATAAGGTGGTGATTCTGCCCGATGTTGGCACAATGACAGACCGGAAACGTACTTCACCCCCGCATTTTGCGATATCAAAGAACAGCAAAGAACGCGTAGGACTACAACGTGTGTGTATCCGTTTTGTGGCCCTTATCAGTGCGCAGCGTTCTTTATCAGTGCGTAAAATACACCGGGGTGACGAATCTACAATGAAT